TCTATGAGGTAATAATGGGGCGCTATGATGCAATAATGGGGCTCTATGTGGCAATAATGGGGCTCTATGAGGCTATAATGGGGCTCTACGAGGCAATAACAGGGCTCTATGACGCATACTGGGGCTCAACTATGGCTATAATGAGGTCTATGAGGCTATAATGGGGCTCTATAGGGTTATAATTGGCCTCTATGAGGCAGTAATAGGTCTCTACGAGGGAATAATGGGGCTCTATATAGCAACAATGGGACTCTATGAGGCTATAATGGGGTATATGAGGCAATAATGGAGCTCTATGAGGCAATAACGGGGCTCTATAAGGCAATAATGGGGCTCTATGAGGTAATAATTGGGCGCTATGATGCAATAATGGGGCTCTATGTGGCAATAATGGGGCACTATGAGGCAATAATGGGGTCTACGACGCAATAATAGGGCTCTATGAGGCAATAATGGGGCTCTATGAGGCTATAATGGGGCTCTATGTGGTAATAATGGGGCTCTATGAGGCAATACTGGGGTCTATGTGGTTATAAAGGGGCTCTATGACACAATAATGGAGCTCTATGAGGCAATAATGGGGCTCTATGTCGCAACAATGGGGGTCTATAATGCAATAATAGGGCTCTATGAGCCAATAATGGGGCTCTATGATGCAATAATGGGGCTCTATGAGGTTTTAATGGGGCTCTATGACGCAATAATGGGGCTCTATGAGGCTATAATGGGGTATATGAGGCAATAATGGGGCTCTATGAGGCAATAACGGGGCTCTATGAGGCTATAATGGGGTCTGTGGGGCAATAATGGGGGTTGTATGACGCAATAATGGAGCTCTATAAGGCAATAATGGGGCTCTATGAGGCAATAATGGGGTCTATGGGGCAATAATGGGGCTCTGTGAGGCAAGAATGTGGCTCTATGAGGCTATAATGGGGTCTGTGAGGCTATAATAGGATTTGTGAGGCAATAATGGGGCTCTGTGATGCAATAATGGAACACTATGGAGCAATAATGGGGCTCTATGAGGTAATAATGGGGCTCTATGAGGCAATAATGGGGGTCTATGACGCAATACTGGGGCTCAATAATGGCTATAATGAGGTCTATGAGTCTATAATGGGCCTCTATGAGGTTATAATGGGGATCTGTTAGGTCATAGTAGTGTTTATGAGGCAATAATGGGACTCTATGATGCAATAATGGGGCACTATGAGGCAATAATGGGGTCTATGAGGCTATTATGGGTCTCTATGTGTCAATAATGGGGCTCTAAGAGGCAATAATGGGGCTCTATGAGGTTATAATGGGGCAGTATGATGCAATAATGGGGCTCTATTAAGCAAGAATGGGGGATCTATGACGCCTAAACAGAGCTCTATGACGCAGGAATGGGGCTCTATGTGGCTATAATGGGGCTCTATGTCGCAAGAATGGGGCTCTATGAGGCAATAATGGGGCTCTATTAGGCAATAATGGGGCTCTATGAGGCAATACTGGGGCTCTATGTGGTTATAAAGGGGCTCTATGACACAATAATGGGGCTCTATGAGGCATTAATGGGGCTCTATGAGGCTATAATGGGGTCTATGAGGCAATAATGGGGCACTATGAGGCAATAATAGGGCTCTATGGGGCAGTATTTGGGCTCTATAAGGTAAAAATGGGCCTCTATGAGGCAATAATGGGGCTCTATGTGGCTATAATGGGGGGTATGAGGCAGTAATTGGGTGTATGAGGCAGTAATGGGGCTCTATGTGGTTATAATTGGTGTCGGGGGGGGCAATAATGGGGCTCCATGAGGCATTAATGGGGCTCTATGAGGCTACAATGGGGTGTATGAGGCAGTAATGGGGCTCTATGTGATTATAATTGGGCTCTGGGGGGCAATAGTGGGGCTCCATGAGGCAATAGTCATGGAATCATAGAATCATCATCGTTGGAAAGGCCCTTAAGATCATCCAGTTCCAACCCCCCTGCCATGGGCAGGGACACCTCACACTAAACCATCTCACCCAAGTCTTCGTCCAACCTGTTCTTGAACACTGCCAGGGATGGAGCATTCACAACCTCCCTGGGCAACCCATTCCAGTGCCTCACCACCCTCACAGGAAAGAATTTCCTCCTTAGATCCAATCTAAACTTCCCCTGTTTCAGTTTTAACCCATCACCCCTTGTCCTGTCACTACAGTCCCTAATGAAGAGTCCCTCCCCAGCATCCCTATAGGCCCCCTTCAGGTACTGGATGGCTGCTATGAGGTCTCCACGCAGCCTTCTCTTCTCTGCTTCTGCAGAAACCCCAGAGAACTAGATGGTACTGGTATGGGTAATCAAAGCTAGGAAGTAAGATCCCGAAACATCAGCATTACAGTGCAGATGCCCTGCTAACAGTTTCCCAAATGAACTTACCCAAGTGCCCAGTGCCAGCAGAGAGCACGCCGGGTACTGCGGCTCACGGTAGCCGGCCCGTTCGGTGCGCATGGCCATGCACAGCACAGTCAGGATGCTCCTCTTCACACACAGCTCTGCAAACGCACCGCAGTCCTGACCTCCAGGGCTGCTTATTGTGGTTTGGAATGTTTCTGAACAGCTGCTGCCAGAATTGTCAAAATGAATGAAATTAAAAACTGACCTACAGTGAAAACCACGCTCGGTTTTTTATTTATGACTCAAAATAAGAATATATCTTCCTACTTTTAAAGTCTGTCAAATAAGGAAAGTTTAAAATTACGTAGATAATTCACAATCAGTGATGAATTTTAAAGTCAGCCACCTGTCTCCAGTTCGTGTCAATACGTCTGAGGAAATTCTCTCGGTCGTCTTTGGTATTTGAAGAGTTAGAAGCACGTTGTAACAAACAAACAAGGACCCATGCAGAGATATCAATGGGTGGTATTGCCACAAGGCATGAAAAATTCACCAACAATATGTCAAGGTTATGTTGATGTAGCTGCGTCCATTTCGGGAAAGACACCCCCAATTATTAGTGTATCGTTATATGGATGATATACTGGTGGCTGGGAAAGTAACCTAGAAGCTGTTAAACAAGAATTGTGTTCAGTGTTGCAACAATATAAATTGCAAATTGCCCCTGAAAAGGTTCAGGATACCACACCATGGAAATATTTGGGTTGGAAAATCTTAGATCATACCACTGAACCTCAGAAAATTAGCCATCAAGGTCAATATCCATACACTTAACGATGTGCAAGTCTTGTTAGGGAATATCAATTGGATTCGAACATTATTGGGAATTGACAGCAAAACTTTAGAACCATTGTTTGAATGGTTGAAGGGTGACACAGACTTCAATGCACCCAGACAATTAACACCAGCAGCAAAACGAGCAATAGCAATGGTAGAAGCCGCATTAAGTGAGAGACAGGCACATCGTGCGATGAATGGAGTTCCTACTGAGTTTTTGACTGTCAGTAATGATTTCCAGACAGTAGGATTAATCATGCAATGGGTTGACTCTGATAAGGAGAAATTGAAAAAACAGTGCAAAACCCCCAAAATAGCCCCAAAACACCTCAAAACCACCTTCTCCTGCTTCTCCTCTGCGATACAGGGTCAGAGTCCCAAAACAGACAAAAAACACCCTGAAAACCACCCCAAAACCACCTTGTCCTGCTTCTCCTGTAGGATACAGGGTCAGAGACCCAAAACAGACCCAAAACAGGACAAAAACAACCCAAAACACCCCAAACTACCCAAAACCGACCTTGTCCTGCTTCTCCTGTGAAATACAGGGTCAGGGCCCCAAAATAGGACAAAAACAACACAAAAAAACCCAAAACCAGCCCAAAACCACCTTCTCCAGCTTCTGCTCCGGGATACAGGGTTGGAGACCCCAAACAGACCCAAAACAGGCCAAAACCAGTCAGAAACCCCAAAACACCCCAAAACTACCTTGTCTTGTTTCTCCTGTGGGATACAGTGTCAGAGCCCCAAAACAGGACAAAACCAGACCCAAAACAGGACAAAAACACCCCAAAACTCCCAAAACCACCCAAAAAAACTCCCCCAAAGCACCCTAAAACCACCCCAAAACCATGTTATCCGCCTGCTTCTGTGGGATACAGGGTCAGAGCCCCAAAACAGCCTCAAAACAGGCCAAAATCACTCCAAAACCCCCAAACCACCCGAAAACCTCATTGACCTGCTTCTCCTGGGGGATACAGGGTCAGAGCCTCAAAACAGTCCAAAACCAGGCCAAAAACAGGACAAAACACGCAAAAAAAAAGGTCAAACAGGCCAAAACCACCCCAAAATCACCTTGTCCTGATTCTCCTATGGGACACAGGTCAGAGCCCCAGAACAGCCCCAAAACAGCCCAAACACAGGACTAAAACACCCCACAACCACCCCAGAACGACCCCAAAACCACCCTGTCCTGCTTCTCCTAGGGGATACAGGGTCAGAGCCCCAATACGGGACAAAAACAGCCCTAAAACTCCCCAAAAACGAACCCAAAACCACCTTGTCCAGCTTCTCCTGTGGGACACAGGGTCACACCACAAAACAGATGCAAAACAGGACAAAAGCAACCCAAAACCACCCCAAAACCACCTTGTCCTGCTTCTTTTATGGGATACAAGGTCAGAGACCCAAAACAGCCTTAAAAACAGAGAAAACCACCCCAAAACACCGAGTCCTGCTTCTACTATGGGTGCCACCCAGTGAGAACCCAAAACAGCCCCAAATCACCCCAACCCCCCCCCAAAATGTTACCTTCTGGAAGTTGCTTTGGAGCTGCTTTAGCCTGGCCTTGAGCTGCGACACCTTGCCAAAACTGCATGGTGCCCCAAACCCCAATCAACCACAGGCATCTCCACCCCTCCCAACACTGCTGGCACCCCTAAATGACCCCAAACCCCATCTTTATTGAGCTCCATAAGGAAGGGTCCCCACACCCAGCACGTTGGGGTTTGGAGCCAGCGGCCCAGCTCCGCCATGATGGCCGAAATTGGCGCGCTGGGAGCGCCGCGCGGCACGACGGGAGTTGTAGTCCAAGCCGGGCGGCTCCTTAGTGGTGCTGTAGGGGTGTCGTACTGCATCATGGGAGTTGTAGTCCAGGCTGGGTGCCGCCATAACGGGGCTCAACGGGTGCCGCGCGGCATGATGGGAGTTGTAGTCATAACTGGGCGCCGCCATAACGGGGCTCATGGGTGCCGCGCTGCATGATGGAAGTTGTAGCCCGGCTGGGCGCCACCGTAAAGGGGCTCTATGGGTGCCGCATTGCATGATCAGGGTTGTAGTCCCTGCAGTCTATGGGTCTCTATGGGGTCTCTATGGGGTCTCTATGGAGTCTCTATGGGGTCTCTATGAAGTCTCTATGGTTCACTTTGGGTTGCTTTCGGGCTCTGTGCAGTGTCTATGGATCTCTATGGGTTTCTATGAGTCTCTATGGGGTCTCTAAGGGCCTCTATGAGTCTCTGTGGGCTGTGGGTCTCTCTATGGGGTCTCTATGGGTCCCTGCAGCGTCTGACCATGGAGGGGGGGGGTCTCTTTACGAGTCCCTTGGAGGGGGAAGCAGCAGCAGCTCCAGTACCAGGATGCAGGGGGCAGAGCTCAAAACCCCGAGACCCCCCCTTTACCCCCATTGCCCCCGTTACCCCAAATTGCTCCCATTGCCCCATTACCGCCATTGCCCCCATATAAAGCCATGGGGGGAGCCAGCAGTGGGTGTGAACCTGTCCCTGCCCCATAGGGTTCTATAGGGGTCCATAGGGGTCCCATCGCCCCCCATCTCCCTCCTTTCCCCCCCAACCAACGCACGCTCTGTTCCTGTCTCCCCGCCCACTTCCACGACAGCCAATCAGCGCCTGGCCCCGCGCACTGCGCCGCGGACCCAATCAGAGCACAGGGTGGGAGAGTAACCCCTCCGCTCCCCTCAGCTGACTCCGCCCCCTGTAACAGCCGCAGGCGCGAGGAGAGGTGGGGGGCGGGGGGCAATGGGGCCGATGGGGGGCAATGGGAGTAATGGGGGGTAATGGGGACAGTCGGGGGTAATCGGGGGCAATGGGGGTAATGGGTTTATATGGGGCCAATGTGGGGGTAAAGGGGGGCAATGGGGCAGTGGGGGCAATGGAGATAATGGGGGGTGATGGGAGGTAATGTGGGCAATGGGGGTAATGGGGACAGTGGGGGTTATGAGGGACAATGGGGGTTATGGCCGGTAATGAAGGCAATGAGTGTAATGGGGATAATGGGGGGCAATGAAGCCAATGTGGGGGTAATGGAGGCCATGGGGGTAATGGGGGGTAATGGAGGAAATGGGGTAATGGGGCAATGGGTTAATGGGGGCAGTGGGGTCAATGGCGACAACAGGGTGTGATGGGAGGTAATGTGGGCAATGGGGGCAATGGGGGGTAATGGGGGCAATGGGGGGCAATGGGGGCAATGGGGTGGTAATGGGGGGTAAAAGGGGCATGGGGGGCAATGGGGACAATGGGGGTTGGTCAGTGGGGATCCTGGGGTCTCCACAGGGCGAACTGCGGCCCTTTGGGGGATCAAACTTCACAACTCCATTTCCTCACCCACATTTCATAGAATCATACAATCATAGAATAGTAAGGGTTGGAAAGGACCTTAAGATCATCCAGTTCCAACCCCCCTGCCATGGGCAGGGACACCTCACACTAAACCATCTCACCCAAGGCCTCGTCCAACCTGGCCTTGAACACTGCCAGGGATGGAGCATTCACAACCTCCCTGGGCAACCCATTCCAGTGCCTCACCACCCTCACAGGAAAGAATTTCCTCCTTAGATCCAATCTAAACTTCCCCTGTTTAACTTTCAACCCATCACCCCTTGTCCTATCACTACAGTCCCTAATGAAGAGTCCCTCCCCAGCATCCCTATAGGCCCCCTTCAGATACTGGAAGCTGCTATGAGGTCTCCACGCAGCTTCTCTTCTCCAGGCTGAACAGCCCCAACTTCCTCAGCCTGTCTTCATACGGGAGGTGCTCCAGTCCCTGATCATCCTCGTGGCCTCCTCTGGACTTGTTCCAACAGTTCCATGTCCTTTTTATGTTGAGGACACCAGAACTGCACACAATGCTCCAGGTGAGGTCTCACCAGAGCAGAGCAGAGGGGCAGGATCACCTCCTTCGACCTGCTGGTCACGCTCCTTTTGATGCCCAGGATACAGTTGGTTTCTGGGCTGCAAGTGCACACTGAAGCCGGCTCATGTTCATTTTCTCATCGACCAACACCCCCAAGTCCTTCTCCTTGGGCTGCTCTGAATCTCTTCTCTGCCCAGCCTGTAGCTGTGCCTGGGATTGCTCCCACCCAGATGTAGGACCTTGCACTTGGCATGGTTAAACTCCATGAGGTTAGCATCAGCCCACCTCACAAGCGTGTCGAGGTCCCTCTGGATGGCATTCCTTCCCTCCAGGGTACCAACCGAACCACACAGCTCGGTGTCATCGGCAAACTTGCTGAGGGCGCGCTCAATCCCACTGTCCATGTCAGCGACAAAGATGTTGAACAAGACCGGTCCCAACACCGATCCCTGAGGGACCCCACTCGTTACTGGTCTCCAGCTGGACATTGAGCCATTGACAAGGCAAGGGAAAGCAAGGCCACTCCAGGACAGCCAGGTAGGGCCAGGTAAGGCAAGGCAAGGCAAGGCCAGTCCAGGACAGGCAACACAAGGCCAGATAAGGCCAGGGAAGGCAAGGCAAAAAAAAGCCAGGCAAGACAAGGCAAGAAAAGTCAATGCAAGGCAAGGTAAGGCAAGGCAAGGCCCATGCAGTAGTTGCAGTTCAGGCCAGGTAAGGCAAGCCCAGGACAGGTAAGGCCAAGTAAGGCAAGGCCTGGCCAGCCAAGGCCAGGCAAGGGCAGGCAAGCTCAGGCCAATCAAGGCCGGCGAGGGCAAGGCCAGTCCAGGCTAGGCCAGGCAAGGAAAGGCTAGGCAGGGAAAGGCAAGGCACAGCAAGGCAACAGAAGGCCAGGCAATGCCAGTCCAGGCAAGGCCAAGCAGGTCAAGGCCAGGCCAGGCAAGGCTAGGCGAGGCAAAGCAATTCAAAGCAAGGCAAGGCTAGGCAAGGCAAGGCAATGCAAGGCAAGGCAAGTCCAGGACAGGCAATGCTAGGCCAGGTAAGGCCAGGTAAGGCAAGGCAAGGAAAGGCCATGCCATGAAGGCAAGGCTAGGCAAGGCAAGGCAATGCAAGGCAAGGCAAGTCCAGGACAGGCAATGCTAGGCCAGGTAAGGCCAGGTAAGGCAAGGCAAGGAAAGGCCATGCCATGAAGGCCAGGCCAGGCCAGGCCAGGCCAGGCCAGGCAAGGCAAGGAAAGGCAACATAAGGCTAGGCAAGGCAAGGCCAGTCGAGGCAAGGCCAGGCAAGGTCAGGCCAGGCCAGGCCAGGTCAGGCCAATCAAGGCAATGCAAGGCCAGGAAATGACAGGGAAGGCAAGGCCAGGCCAGGCCAAACCAGGGCAGGCCTGGCAAGGCCTGGCAAGGCAAGGCAAGGCAAGGCAAGGCCAGTCCAAGACAGGCAATGCAAGGCCAGGTAAAGCCAGGTAAGCCAAGGCCAGGCCAGGCCAGGCCATGAATGCAAGGCCAGGCAAAGCAAGGCAATGCAAGGCACGGCAAGGCAACGCCAGGCCAGGCCAGGCCAGTCCAGAGCAGGCCAGGATAGGCCAGGCAAGGCCATTCAAGTCAAGGCAAGGCAAGGCAAGGGAAGGACAGGCCAGACAATCAAGGCAAGGCAAGGCAAGCCTAGACAAGGCAAGGCTACACAACACAAGGAAAAGCAAGTTTACGCAGCTCCAGGACAGGCAATAGAAAGCTCGGTAAGGCAAGGCAAGGCCAAGCCAAGCCAGTCCAGGTCATACAAAACCAGGGCAGGCCAGGCAAGTCCAGGCAAGGCAAGGTAATACAAGGCAAGGCAAGTCAAGACAACCCAGGAGAGGCAAGACATAGCCAGGCGAGACATGGGCAGGCAGGAAAGGCCAGGCCAGGCCATGCCAGGCCATGCAAGCCCAGGCAAGGCAAGGCAAGGCAAGGCAAGGTAAGGCCAGGCAAGGCAAGCCCAGTTCAGTCCAGGAGAGGCCAGGACATGCAAGGCAAGACCAGGTAAGACCAGGTAAGACCAGGAAAGGCCAAGCCAGTCAAGGCCAGGCAAGGCAAGGCAAAGGAAGGCAAGGCAAGGCTAGGCAATGCCAGGCAAGGTAAGATAATACAATGCAAGGCAAGTCAAGAAAAGGCCAGGTGAGGCAAGACATGACCAGGCGACACATGGGCAGGCAAGGAAAGGCCAGGCCAGGCCATACAAGGCCATGCAAGGCAGGCAAGGCCAGGCAAGGCAAGGTAAGACTAGGCAAGGCAAGGCCAGTCCAGGACAGGCAATTCAAGGCCTGGTAAGGCCAGGTAAGCCAAGGCCAGGCCAGGCCATGAAGGCAAGGACAGGCGAGGCCAGGCAAGGCAAGGTAAGGCTAGCAAGGCAAGGCCTGTCCAGGACTGGCCAGGCAAGGCAAGGCCAGGCAAGGCAAAGCAAGGCCAGGCAAGGCCAGGCCAGGCCAGGCCAGGCAAGCTAGGACAGTCCAGTCAAGGCCAGGCCAGGCCAGGCCAGGGAAGGCCAGGTGAGTCTAGGCAAATCAAAGCAAGGCCAGGCAAGGCACGGCAATGCAAGGCAGTGCAAGGCCACTCTGGGACATACCAGGACAGGCATTGCAATGCCAGGTCAGACCAGGTAAGGCCAGGTAAGGATAGGTAATATCAGGACAGACAAGGCCAGCCAACGCCAGGCCAGGCCAGGCCAGTAAAGGAAATTCAAGACAAGGCAAGGCCAGGCAAGGCAAGGCAAGGAAATGAGAGGCAAGGCAAGGCAAGGCAAGGAAATCCAGGCCAGGGCAGGAAATGCTAGGCAAGGCAAGGCAAGGAAGCCTAGTTGAGGCAAGGCAAGGCAAGGCAAGGCCAGGCCAGGTAAGGATAAGCCATTAAGAACAGGCTGGGCAGGACTAGGCCAGGCCAGCAAGGCCAGTCCACACCAAGGAAGCCCAGGCAGACAAGGCAAGGCAAGGCAAAACCAGGTAAGGCCAGGCAAGACCAGGCGAGGCAAGGCCAGGCCAGGCCAGGCCAGGCCAGGTAAGCAAGGCCAGAACAGGGCAGGCAATGCAAGGCAAGGCCAGACTAGGCTAGGCAAGA